AGAGACAGAGACAGAGACATAGACAAAGATAGAGAGACAGAGAGACAGAGAGAAAGAGACAGAGACAGAGACAGAGAAGGAAAGGTGTTTTGCTGCAATTATTGGTGATCTTATTAGACATCTTCTAGACCTTGCATCCTGAAGAAATAGTGATCATGTAGTCTGTGTTTAGTTTTTCATAATTTGGGGGTTCCCTTAATGAATAATTGACACAGTTTTTTATAGTTATTTCCTCTAAAGGCTGTCCTTTTCAGGATTGCATGCTGATTTCTGCATGTGTAGACACATGGCTGAAGGACTCAGACTGCCTTCTAATTTTCCAAACCTCACCTGGTTTAAAATAGCCCTTTTAGCAGGATTCAGAGAGTTGATTCCTTGCAACTTCAAGCTCAAAAATCCCTTGCCCCTCTCCTGCTCAGCATATGTGAGCTATTAGGAATTTCATGTCAATGAGACACACAATCCTACTTCAGAAATTTATGATAGGGTAGCAAGAACTATTCAAACTGAATGTATGAGGACACTCATTATACACAATGATAAACTGTAAATATGGAAAATGGATGGAAAAATATGGAAAGCCCCATATAGTATAAACAGGTTGTTGCTAGACTCACCTGGGGAGATAGAAGAAGCTTCTCTGAGAGTGTTTGCAGGACAACACTTGAAGAATGTCAACAGTGAATAGATAAAGGTTTGAAGGGGGAAAGAAGACTTTATCTAGAAGACTTTATCTAGCAGAGCCATTAGGTAAGAGACACTGAGGTAGGAGGCATGTAATATACAGGAAGTGTTTCCAGCATCTCAGAGGAGATTCTCCCTCCCCTTTTTAGTATCTCCAAGCAGTTGTACAAAAGGGTTTAGACCTAAGATCTCCATTTATACATATAATGCCCCTTGATCAGAATCACCCCTCCCATCAGTCTCCCCCATCTGTACCTGAAGGTTTCTAGTTCTGTTTTCACATATGTACATAGAGTATAATGACCTATTCACCCATCATTTCTCTTTCCATTCATCTACCCTCTCCTTTTGTCTCTTCCTCATGAAGATCTATTCCAGCTTCCTGGTTTTGTTTTATTAGTTTTATTTTACTAAACTCTTGTTCACAGGAGTTATACAATGGAATCATATTCCTAAAGATACCATACTTCGGTCAGCTTAATTGTGTGTGTGTGTGTGTGTGTGTGTGTGTGTGTGTGTGTGTATGTGCGTGCGTGCATATGGTTCTATATACGTTTTCAACTACATTTATATTTTGAGTGTAACTTCTACTTATGAGAGAAAACATGCACTCTGACTCTCCAAACCTGATATTTCACTCAATATAATTTTTTCCAGGCCTATCCATTCCCTAGCAAATGACACATTATGCTTCTTGATGAATAAAATTCCTATCATCTATACAATATACATATACAAGTATTATATACAATACATACATCACATTTTCAGATTACATTCTTGTTTGCATTCAGGGATGCTTTCCATTACTTGTGTCCTTCTAGGCTAAACATGTTATGATTTTTTTTTTGTTGGTCATGGGACTTGAAATGTGATTCTTAAATCGAGCAAGGCATGTTTTCCATAAGATATGCAGAGAAATGTGCACACACGGGGCTGGGAATGTGGCCAAGTGGTAGAGTGCTTGCCTAGCAGGCCTGAAGCCCAGGGTTTGATTCCTCAGTACCATATAAACAGAAAAAAAATGGAAGTGGTGCTTTGGCTTAAGTGGTTGGGCCTGGGCGCTGTCCTTGAGCTCTTCAGCTCAAGGCAGGTCTCTGAGTTCAAGCCCCATGACTGACCCCCCACCCCAAAATGTGCACACACAAGTAAGAAATGCATAAATACTCGATGATGCATTAATGCATTGTTATTAACATACCATTCCATGGGCATACTCTATGCACATGTTCATGCATACACTTAAACTATAGCATGTTAAAGCAGAGTTTTAACATAGTGTAAACACAGGAAACATTTCTACTAAATCTGTCAAGGAAGGAAAAGGCCTTCATAGAGTATCCTACGGTGGTGAGTATGCTGGGTGTTGCCTGTAGTGCTTGTTTAAATGTCACTGTGATTAGGTGTGTGTTTGGCAGAGACAAAAACTAAACCTCTGCCTTGACCCCAGGACACATAGGGTATCTGTCTACCTTCAAGCTATTAGCGTGTGGCTTAACAATGAGACAAAATTTTAGGCTCACTTTTATCCCAGAGATCTTAGTTCATGAGGCATTTGGGCCTTTGGGCCTTCTGCTTCATGTCCCCACTCTGTTCTCCATTTGTACATGGAAAATGTTCATTGAACTGTTTGGGGTGGTATAAGAAGAAGAAAGACTGGTATTACATCTCCATTTCTTGAAACTCCTAAGATTAGTGTTCTAGAGCTGCCTCTAACTGAAGACTATATAAAAAAGTGCATGTCCAGGTAGATCTGCAAAAAAAATTACAGAAAGAATTTTTGTATGTTTTTATTGTAGAAATACTGTACAGAGGGGTTACAATTACATGAGTAAGGCAATGAGTACATTTCCTATCAAACATTGTCACCTCTTCCTTTTTTTCTCCCCACCATTCCCCCAAGTTGCAAAGTTCGTTTTCAACATAGTGTCTTGTACATCTCGTTGTTACAGTGGGTCAACCTGTATCCTTATTTAAGCATTTTGTTTTTCCCTTCCCATCCCCAAATTAGAAAAATGTATATACAAGATACAGGACACCGGAATCAAATACAGTGAAAACAGGGGTTATACCATGGGGGAAGAACATACAAAAGAAACAAAAAAATCATATAATACATTTTAAATACATTAAAAACTAGCAAGCAAGAAAAAAAACCTAGTGTGTCCCTATCTTGGGGTTCATTTCAGTTAACATTATCTTATATGATCATATGTACATAGATTTTGACCTTTTCGGCTTGTCCTAGTTATTGCAAATAAAGGAAATCATGGGACCTATGTTTCTTTGGGTCTGGCTTACTTTATATAATTTTTTCCAGGTCTTTCCCATTTCCTAACAAATGGGGCAATGTCATTCTTTCTTATGGAGGCATAGAATTCCATTGTGTGTGTGTGTGTGTATGTGTGTGTGTGTGTATGTATATATGTGTGTATATGTATGTATGCTTGTATATACCACATTTTCTTGATCCATTCATCTACTGGGGGGCATCTGGGTTGGTTCCACATCCTAGCTATGGTAATAATGCTGCAATAAACATAGTTGTGCTGGTAGCTTTAGTGTAGCCTTGTTTTTGATTGTTTGGGTAAATGCCCAAAAGTGGGATTGCTGGGTCATAGAGGAGCTCTATGTGGAGTCTTTTGAGAAACCTCCAAACTACTTTCCAAAGTGGTTGAACAAGTTTACATTCCCACCAACAGTGCAGTAGAGTTCCCTTCTGTCCACATCCCCTCCAGCATCTGTTGTTATTAGAGTTCTTGATTTTTGCCATTCTAACTGGGGTGAGGTGGAATCTCAATGTTATTTTGATTTGCATTCTTTTATGGCTAGAAAAGTTGAGCATTTCTTCATGTGTCCATTGGCCATCCTTCTTTCTTCTTCAGAGAAGTTTCTCTTTAAGTCTTTAGCCCACTTATTTATTAGGCAGTTGTTTCTTTGAGGATTTGTTGTAGGGGGATTTAGTTTTTTGAGTTGCAAGTATATTTTAGATATGTGACCTTTGTCCGTTGTATGGCTAGTGAAGATCTTCTCCCAGTCTGTAGGCTTACAGAAAGAATTTTTGGGGTATTCATCCAACTTCCCGTGGGTAACAGGGAGGTAGGCAGCAGTTGAAGATACAGGTTTTCTTTCCTAAACAGTGAAAAATAATTATGCATCTATTTTTTTTCTTTGTAAAATTGTTCTTGCATATCCCCCATCCCCCTTAGTCATTTTAGGTATCACCCAGTATATAATTATAGTGAGAGAGAACACACATTGAAGGTCTATTATGGGTCAAGCTCTGTTCCAGGCTGTGTACAAAGTAGCTGAT